CATTTGTACTTTATCAAATTTATTTTTACATATTTGTTTCATTTGAAACGTTTACGTTAAACTTTTTTAATTGACTTATTTTATACCCACAATTTTTTAATTGCCTATTTTTGTTATTGTTTATGTTGAAAATATATTTTTTGTGCTGATAAGCCTGAGTAGTCTGTTGACTGACCTTTGTATTTGTTCAAATAATTGTTATGGGCAGGTTACAATATAAAAATGTTTGTCATAATCATGTCTTGTGATTATTTGACAGGAGTTTTACTTTTAAACTGTAAGTGTTTTTAATTTAGTTGTGTTAATTATGATAGTTTAGTTATGTTGTAAATACAATAAAAATTAAAACAATATTTAGATTAGAATAATTATCATTTTGATCCATACATTGTATGGATCAAAATCAGATAATAATCTGACTGGGCCTCGTGTCACTTTATGTTCAACAAATTGGGTCCTGAGGTCAAATTAAGAACCCGTGGTCTAGCATTTGTTGCCTTGTGAGGCCCATCTTTCAAATAAAAAAATACTACCTTCTGGGGAGCCGCTGCTCATGAGGTCTAAAGCCTGGTCCCCATAACTTGAAATGCCATTGGTGTGTTTAGGGTTGGGTTTAGGCAATGGAAATGGATGATAAATGGATGGAAGTCAATGCAAAGTCCCTGTGAAGGTAGAAAGACACGACACTATGTGTGCATTATAAAACTTTATCTCATGTGTTTGCAGTTTGGCTAATACCAACTCTGTCGCCAAGGCAGTTTTTCACAACCTAATTTTTAAACTGAGCAGCAAGTGAGAGCACTGTTATTGTTTTCAGTGTTTTCTCTATTTTTGTTTTGACTCCCATCATCCCAGCAGAATGTAGGTCATGGGCTGCTTGAGGTGAAGTATGAGGCAGCAGTTTCCAGGCCGGCCCCCATAGAAGCTGATTATGTGCTCAGGAAACTTGTTGCAGAGACGTTAAACACACAAGTTCCTGTTTGACATCTGTTTCCAGTGAGCCTCCCAGGCCAGCCGCTCRCTCTGAGGCCTCCTCTACCTTAGTCAGTTTAACTGCTCTGTGACCCCTTCGTTCCTAGAAACCTAAAGGAATTCCTGATGACTCAAACTTTTTGTCTATGTGCAAATAGTAATATAAACCCTCTGATAAAATCAAGATAAACAGGTTTCTACACATCCAGCTTCCCAACTAGACTGCCGAACCTCAAGGCTGTGAATAATTAGCCAGGTGCATCAGCAACAAGCCAAAACAGCTTTTTGGTTGTGTCTGCTTGTTATGAAAAGTCAACCGTTGCCGTTTCACAGTCAGGGTTTGTTTTTGTAATAAAAGAGCACTCTAACAGTTTGAATAAAAACCTCAAGCTCATTTTTTTATGTTGAATGCAGAAAATAGAGCCATCATTTTGCCATTAATGAAGTCTCAGAAAGCCTCGCTTCTGCTCAGAGGGGGTTTTCTTCTTTCTGTAATACTGTTGTGTGAGTAGTACAGTCCACCTGATAAAAAGACAATTGGATTGGATTAAAACACTGTTTTAGCCACAGGCAGAACCAGAAGGAAGCAAAACGTAAAGAATTAGATAAAAATCATAAATTCTAAATGCAAATAAATTCTAATTATAATAAATTAATAATAGTTTTTCATCTAAAAATCACGTTTTATTATTTTTATCTGTTTTCCTCATTACATCAACCTATTATATTTCTGTTATGTTATGTTTTGTAGCTATAACCAAGTTTATTAATGTACGACAAATCCACATTTTTTCCAGTCAGTGTTTAATACAGCTGCAAAATCAACTGTGAAAATATTTATGATGTGCTTCTTTTTTAATTTGGTA